GGGGCTTATACATGGACGATATTTTGTCTTAGTAATAAATAAGTCAGACATAAACAAGTCAGTCATAAACAGGAAAATAAATGTGTATTAATAACTCGCTTTGATTAACATAGTAAGCTATAAAGACAATGACAATGTTTTTAAATATCGTTCTCTGCTATATTAAAAGACAATGTCAATGTTGAATAACGTAGTGGGCTACTGGGCTTATATTCGGGTGTGCTTATATTCGGGAGGGATTATATACGGGGGGCTTATATTTGGAATGAGGCGAGTGTTAGTACATGTGGTGGGCTTATACATGGGGGAGGGGCTTATTTTCGGGGGGGGCTTATTTTCGTGGGGGGGGGGCTTATATTCGGAGGTTTACGGTAGTGTAAATTAACCCATTTCAATCACTCAAACGTCAAAATGATAAATACAGCCATTTCTTCTCTCCCAAATGAATTAGAAGAAAAAACAAATAAGGTCATATTAACTAACTAGTACCTTTATGCTTTTTTTCTTCGACAATTTCAATCATAGTTTAATAATCATTTTCAATCTATTATAGTAATTCACCGTTTCCACATACCTTTAAAAAGTTACAATAAAGCTAAATCTATAGCAGTATAGGAAATAACATTATTTAGTTATGTATTTATTTATTTATTTATAGACTTTATTTCATGAGGGTAAACACTTGACAGTAAGTGTGAACTACTGATAAATTCGTGGCCCTCCCTAATCCCCAATCTTTAATAGTTCTAACGGTGAAAGTGCGCCCACCTTCAGTCTCTCTAGTGTATTTTGGGCACACTATGTTCATATTATTAAAGCGAGTATTTCTAGTATGAATATCTGAGTTCCTTATTAGCATAGTGCTTAAATATTCAGGGTAACATAATCTGTATTTACTCTTTTAAAAGTTATAAATGTTCTTTTTATAAGACACTGTTTCGACAAAGGCAGCCAATTTAGCTTATTAAAAAGTTCAATTGAAGGCGTTCTTTTATCAACATCTAGAATAATTCTTGCCGCCCTCTTCTGAAGTTTCAAAAGTTATAAATTTGTAAAGGAAATCTAACAGTCAATCGCTTTCGATATAACCTTGACCCACCTTGACCTTGTTATTACCGTCGCTTGCAACTAACTATTAAGAGTCGCTGATAAAAACATTGCCTATTCGCGTGAGAATCTTAGGTTTTCTTATTTTGACATAATAGCTATTTTTCAATAAATATATCAATGTTAAACTTATTGAATCAATATTTTAAGTTTCACAGCAGTTGTACCAAAGGTTATAAGCGCTATAGCGCATCATAAGTTTCAGATGGCATGCAACATGTACGCACTGCGTACCTATTTTTTAGGTTTTGGACATTGTTCACCGCAAATACACAACATTGAAAAACATTGCCTCTAAATAACAAATGGCTGTTACTAAGGAATAAATATTGTTTATTGTACTTCTCGTTTGTTTCAAATTGTAAATATTTTTGTTCTGCTTCGTTTAAAAGCTTGCTTCTGGCGGACCAGCCACAGGAAGTGTTCATGGAACTTTAAACAATGCTGCGCAAGCATCTTGTATTACCAAAGTGTTGTCAGCTTCACAGAAATATATGCGTGAACAAGAGGTAAAAAATGGGTTTTTTTGGTTTGGCTTTTTAGATGATGCTACTCTGAGTGTTCCCACACTAGGAAAGCTGAAAAGGTTTCTTGACCACAGCGGGAATCGAACCCACGATCGTCACCGCGATCACACAAACCTTTCAGCCTGCCTGATGTGGACGCAGAATAGCATCGTGTCAAAAAATTCCACCTGCATACATACACCACAACTATTACATTCGTAAATAATGTAATATATAGTTGTGGCAATGATAATTTAAATTACAAATAGGGAAAATGCTTTGTTAATTTCATCCACAGGGTAATATCAGGTAAGAACATTAATTGTGTAAGGAATAATTATGTAACTTCTAAACACAATGGAGAATAGAATTAACTGTATCAATTAATGGGAGTGAAAGCGAAAACCAGTTTTATTACCCAAAATATCCCTAAAGCAATCAAAAGTAAAAAATCATAATTGTTTACGATGTAGTTTCCACTGAATGGATCTAATAGTAGACTAGTTTAGTGCGGGCGGGAGAAGAGAGGGCGTCGTTTGAGGAAACGCCAGCCCAAATCGCTATGACAAATATGTTCTCGCCCATTAAGGATGATTGACGTTTTGTAATTAGCACCTTCACCCATTATCCAATCATAGTCGAGATTTATATTTAGCATCATGCATGCTTTTTGCTCGACTACTAGGGAGATTTGCATTGATTTTATGTACTATTATTTTAAAACATGAGCAGCAGTGTTTTATCAGATATAAAGGTGGTTTGATAAAACACGCACTGCCAATGTTTTAAATTGCTTCAAAAACGATCGATCGAGTATAAGTTCATTGGCGGAGTAGCTTTCGAAAAATTCGTTGTGTGTGTAGAGAAAATCAAAGTTTAAAAAATCAAAGTGTAAATCAAGGGAAATCTTTATCACATATAAAGATACGACACGTTTATGATTTTTCTTTGTGTTTTCCTCATGAATTATTAATGCCTTTTTGAAGCTATTTTAGACAACAGTCACAACACCTCTAGAGCTTTTATCTTTTAAAAGACCCCTGAACCACGGTTGTTTAACGTATCCTGCCGTATAGCAAATAACAGTTGAGCATGTTTTGAAATGTTATTCTTAAAATCATCATCCAACCTCATAGCTGCAATGCCAAGTGATGTAGCCTCAACTATCTGATCTTGAATTATACTTTAAAGTGAACAAATAACAAGACAACTATAAGAAATATTCGACCCCTGCTCGAGCAAGCTTTGATTTGCCGATATATTTAAAATGTATAATTGAATAATAGACTTTCTCTGTTCTGGTTTCTGCTGAATTTTGAAGCCGAAATACTTGAAATATAAGAAAGAGTTTTCCTCGAAAGCATCAACAGGTGGCATATTTTCGATACATGAGCAAAATTATTGTTGACATTTGAGTTACGTAAATACTTCCGTTAACGAGATTGACCAATGGGAAGCTTTTCCGAAGTGTCTTCGGTGAAGAACAAATTTGTCATGGGCATTTGGTCAGGCGTTTATTCAACGACGCCCTCTCTTCTCCCGCCCGCACTAAACGCCTGCTACGCAGGCTAATAGTAGACTCGATATAGCTTCTCTAGGTGTCAAAAGTGAAGCCAAATTATATATGCGAAAACCACTTCCGGGGACCACGGAGTGATACAAATTACTATAGAAATATATGGCGAACAACGTGAACCAAGGTGAGTTTTCCCGAATTTGAGATACTGGGCGAAGTTTTACCAAGCTTATCGCTGCACCGTGGGTAAAAGATGTTATGTTAATGCTTTTAAAACGAAAATTATCCGGATTGCCCTAAAATATCGTCAGTTTTGTTCATCCAAAGTATTTTAAATAGTACATGAATGATCAAAATTAATGAACAATACACTCAGCCTCTGGTGTCTCTGCACTATAAAAACAATATACACTCTGCAACTGAAAGTTCAAAATTCAACTGTAGTAGGCTCACTCTGCAGAAAGCTTCATTAAGATTGTTTTCCAGTTTAACAGAATAACAAATAAATACAAGTACTAAAAGTACAAATATATTTATTACATATCTTTATAACTTAGACATATACTGACTACTGCATATATATTCTGTAAAAAGGCTTACTAAGATGGATAATTGAAAGTTTGAAACCTTCTAGTCGATCAAGGTTAAACATAAATGATAAATGAACTACTTACTTCCCTTCAAAGGATTGCTTGATAATATTCTGCCTCTGTAATCGGAAAGCAAACCAGAAATTGTGTTGTCATACCACTGTGGCGATAAAATATTATTCCCGCATGGACAACTTTGAACGAACAAAAATGACGATATTTTAGGGCAATCTGGGTGATTTTCGTTTTAAAAGCATTAATATAACATCTTTTATCCACGATGGAGCGATCAGCTTGGTAAAACTTCGCCAAGTATCTCAAATTCGGGAAAATTCGCCTTGGTTCACGTTGTTCGCCATAAATTTCTATAGTAATTTGTATCACTCCGTGCTACCCTGAAGTGATCAGTTTTCGCATATATAATTTGACTTCATTTTTGACACCTAGAGAAGCTATATCCAGTCTTCTATTAGATCAGTGGTACTTTTCAGTGTGGTCAACACCCGAGGACGAGCTATAAATTTGTCAGTCTGTGTACAGACTAGCGCGAGAGAACGTCTGTGAGTTGGATGCATAATCCGGGTTCAGATCACGTGGATAGTTCCCAGATTTGGCGACAGGCCTCTGATTGGACAGTGCTTTATTTGAATAATTTATGACAAATGAAGCTATTTCATTGGTTAATTGATAATTAGCATGCGTTTAAAATAAGGACACAAAAATTTTAAATTCAGAGATTTCCAGATCAAGAATCAAGATTTCCTTTCGGGGCATACAAAAGTTTGAAAGACTTGAAATACAATCTGAAAAACGATACACCTGTCCAGAAATATATTGCATATACTTCTCGATGAAGAGATTTGTTTTGAATGGGAACAATGCTGAACGATGATCAATGCCGGCAAGTCCGGTTGTACAAGCTTAGATCTTGGCGTACATATGGCGTATATTTGTTTACAAAGACAAAGTATTAAATATAAATACAACTGGTTATTCAAAAGGTGTATTTTAAAGTGATTAAAAGTTAACTGGCCAAGTAAGACGAAGTTAAACACATTACATGTAAAGAAAATGCTTTATCGCGAGGGGTCGGGACATATAAACAAATTGTCAATTTATTAAATTGTCAATTATAAATTGTCACTTTCCGTCCGATAGTTTGTTGTATTTTATATATTTGTCAGCATTGTTCGCCGAGTGTCCAAACACTAGAATTTTATCTTGATTTTCTTAAACTTCGATACAGCACAAAATTAAACTCAACAGATTATATTTCAAGTCTTTCAAACCTTTGTATGCCCCAAATGAAATCTTGATTCTTGATCTGGAAATCTCTGAATTTAAATTTTTTGTGTTGTTATATAAACGCATGCTAATTATCAATTAACCAATGAAATAGCTTCATTTGTCATAAATTATTCAAATGAAGCACTGTCCAATCAGAGACCTGTCCCCAAATCTGGGAACTATCCACGTGACCTGAACAAGGATTATGCATCCAACTCACAGACGTTCTCTCGCGCGCTTCGTCGAAAGTAACGGCTGTACACAGGCTATAAATTCGTCAAACTGATGTGTTCTTTTTTATTTCAAAATCACAGTGCAAGTTTTTCCAAAGTTTTGCTTTCTATTCCCCCGTTCTTCAAATCAGGGAAAATCGTAAACGAGAACAATTATGTCACAGTTCTCAAAATCTGGTTTCATCCTTTTTTTTCCAGATGAATACAAAATGAAATTTGCAATCGAATTAAAACATCACTTCCAATTATTAAAATCAAGTTTATTACGATTAAATGAAGTTTTTAGAAATTATTCCTTTCTTTCTCAGAACGAATGTAGCTTTGTCAGCTTGCGTGATGTCGAAAGAGCAATGAAAGTTATCACATGGTTTCATTCCAATCCCGAATTGATCAATTGGGTTATTGGAGATGAAGATAATGACAGAGATCAAGATAATGAAAGTTCTGACGAATCTGGTGACGACGAAAATAATGATGACGTTGAACAAGTGAGGTTCTTGAGGTTCTTTCTCCTTCTGCACAAAATTTTATTAATCAAGCACATTAAGTTAAGGTGTCTAAGGAAAACGATCTAGAACCCTTTTCGTTTTGATTCTCGCCAAAGCTGGCCTGTGATGTTAGGCCATTAAAAGACAAATAATTGGTGACTGTATTATGTTTGTCTTATTGATATGCATTCGCTACTTTCTATTTTTACATTTTTTAGCCTTTAAGTCAAATTGTCCGCGCTGTAATCCTCGGCATTGGTGTGTGTTATTATGCAAGATTAAATGAAAAAGAAGCATACTGCGATTATATTTGCGGATATTTTGACAATTCATGTCTGTTATCAGGAGGTGCGTGCAGGATGCAAAAAGAAATTATAAGGTGAGTTAAGTAGATTGGCGAGATTTACGCGGATGGAAGGTTTAAGTTTTAACATTAATGTTTGTGCATGTAGATAGAGTTGTTTCAAATGCACTTCAAAAATGTACGGGTGAGGTCTTTAAATTAAATAACAATTAAAATTGCACAAGTCCAAAAGGCGATACCTAATTGTTCTTCTAAATGCCATGAGAAACCTTGATATTATTTAAAAATATACAAGAAAATGGTTTACGTCTATGTATAATTTCGATTCAAGAGCTTCATTAACTTGTACCTTCGTTCCTGACGTTATTTCCCCTTCACTGCATGGATGTTTTATACCTCACTGATTCGTTTGAAAATTTGAAGAAAATCTAATTTACCAAGAATACTTTTTCCTCTATATCAATGCCAGGTGAAGAACACATTCATTTTCGTACCGTATTTCCTTATATTGCCGGTTAGTATAGGACCTGTATATGAGTTTGTATGCGTTTCATTTAGGACAGGTAGTCTCAACTGTTTTGGGGAAAAATGACCATGGCGGTCAACATGGCATATGTGCCAAAACCTGAATCCGGGACGAAAGTCCTGAAAATGACCCCGCCCTGAAACGGCAGTGTCGACATAGCTCTAACTTCCGAAAAGGAAAAGCGATAGTCTTTCTGAAGTGCTTATAGTGTATAGAAGGGTTGCTTTTGGGGGTGATCATTGTGAGGAAAAATTTGTCTAAGTATAGTATTTTACAAGAAAATGACCGTGCACCACACCAGGTAAATTGCTAATTATGCATAAAATAACTAATATGCCTGGAAGAAATGAAATTTTCTTATTTCCTTAAAAAAATAATCATGGGATGAAAAACTATGCTTAATTTAATATAATTATTGTGGATTTCATAAGGATTGTCATTGTTTTCTTTAAATATAATCCCCAAGCCAACGGCGCCGTTCCGGGCGTAAGCCCGGGGCGAGGGTACTAATTCCGCCCGGCTATTTACACCCGGGGAAAGAAAGGAACGCACTAGGGAAGTCTAAAGTTCATCAAATACCGCGGGCGCATTGGGTATGGGTGGTCATCTCACTGATCTCAAAATATGGCTGTTTGCCAGGAGTGAAGAAGGGAAAACTATAAAAATTACATGTAAGAAAGCTTGGAAAATCGTTTCACATAACAAATTGTAAAACTTTTTTGCAATTTTTAAATGTTAACATTTATAAGAATTGATTTAGTACGAGAAATCCTAAAGTACTAGAAATACATGCATGCAGTACCCCCTCGCCAATATTTTCCAAACATTAAATTAACATGAAGTATTCAGAAATGACCAACACTGAACGCAGGCTCGCGCTCAAGTGTTGCCATGACAACACGATATTCTTAAATTTTTAATTTTTTTTCATATTTTTTGTACAAAACTGCAAAATAGTTGAAAGATTCGTACTTTTAACTGTACAACAATACATTTCCGAAATAGTATACTGTGGGTATTTTATTTTGCATTTTTGTGAGCTTTGATTTAATGTAAAATTTAACTTGAAACGCTTCGTAAAATGTTTTGAAATGTTCATTCAACTAAACTACATTTTGCCGATAAACTGTTTTCACTTAATAAAACATAGTAAGTTCAGTGGCGTAGCCAGCCCGACAATTTAGTCCCGCTATGCAAATTCAAAATTATTATCATCATTCATTTCTTTAGAAATCGATTGTTTTCACAGTCAATGAACACGAGAATATTTGCATAGCGGGACTTAATCGTCGGACTGGATACGCTACCGAATAAGTTTATAAATACAAATAAAACACATTGTTAGGTAATTTCAGTCCAGTCTTCAAATCAATTTGTTCGCCTTTACATTTTAAGATTTTTTCTCAAATTAATTAAACGGTAATTTAGGAAACTTAGAGCTTCGTTGAAAAGGAAAACAGTTCATGTTTTTAGGCAAAAAGTTAAAGCAACAAAATTCGTAAACATTAAGTATTCAAAGAAAACTTGCCGTATATTTCACGATTTCCCATAGTAAATCAATTCTTCTGATTTCTTCAAACAAAATTGCTTCAAGCTTGTTGTATATGAAACGATTTTCCAAATATATGTCTTTTAAAATTGAAATCTTGCTTATCCCACTCCTACAAGCAAACAGCCATATTTTTTAGATCAGTGAGAATGACCACCCACTCAAGATCGTTGGTCACGCCCGCGATTATTCATGAACTTTAGACTTCGCTAATGCTTTCGGTTCCCCGGGTGTAAATAGCCGGGGGGAATTAGGACCCTCGCACGGGGCTTCACACCGTCGGCTGTGAGATTTTGTTTCAATTGTTTATGTATGACTTAAATTTGTATTATTATAGACTTTGTTCTTGTTGTTCAAGTCTTTCCTATGCATTGTTGATTTCAAAAAGGCTTTTGATCTTGTTGATCATGAAATCCTAATTCTGAAACTTAGAATGTTCGGATGTTCTCCATTAGTATTGAAATGGTTTGCGTCATATCTTAGTGATCGTTATCAACGCACTTATTTCAAAAACACATTATCCGATATGCGTCCTGTTAAGATAAGTGTTCTTCAAGGAAGTATTCTCGGCCCCCTTCTTTTTATCTTATTTATCAATGATCTCCCTTCTCAACTTTCGCACTCAGAATCCACAATGTTTGCAGATGACACCGCCGTTCTAACAGAAGGTTCTTCCTTTCATGATTTAAATGTGAAACTTAACCTTGTTGCTCAAGATCTCTCAATATGGACTCAACAAAACCGAATGGTGACTAATACATTGAAAACCAAGACCATGCTCATTCATTCTCCGCAACAACTTAAGAATACTTCAGACCGTTCTCTATCAGTTACTCTTAATGGCAACATACTTGCACAGGTGAAGCAAGCAAAAGTGTTGGGTTTAACGCTTGACGAGTTTTTAATTTGGACAAAGCATATTGACAACTTGTGTTCAACAATCAATAGTAAACTTGCTTTATTACGCAGGATTAAACCCTTTTTAACTAAGGTGATCGCTAGATAGTATACTTCAAAATAAGGTTTTCATTTTTATAACGTAGAAAAAACTATCCTAACGCAAAACTAAACCCTAACCCTAATACTAACCCTCACCCTAACCCTAACCTAACCCTAACCTAACCCTAACTTATTTTAATTATTTTAAAAATTGATATAAAAACGGAAATCTTATTTTGAAGTATACTATCTAGCAATTGCCTTTTAACTAAGGACTGTGCTCTTCGCTTCTATAACTCCTGTATTAATTCAAGTCTTATCTATTGCTCTGTAACTTGAGGAAACTGCTCAAAAACACTTTTACTTCGCATTCTTCAACTGCAAAAGCGTGCAGCACGTATTATTCTAGACGCTGACTTTTCTACTCCTTCTGTTCTTCTTTTTTCCCATATTCGAATAATCCCAATCTTTGATCTTGTTAAATTTAGGAATCTTCTCTTACTAATTAACATTCTCACAAATCCCAGTGCTCCATCTTCATTTAAGCAAATGTTTAAATTCTTATCTTCTATTTGACAACGGGCTCTGACTAGAGCTTGCGCATATGACCTTCAACCCCCCTTCCCGCGTACTGACTCTGGTAAACGAACATTTCTGTACAGTGCTTCCATTCTTTTTAATTGCTTAGATAGCGATTGTAAGCAACTTGCTGCTTCCCCATCTTGCTCTTCATATACTAACGCCAAACAAAAAATTCGTAAAATCTTTCTTAACAAGCTTAACCTTACTAACCATATCGAAGATCTATTTTGTATAAATTGTAAATATTTACTAAATTGTAATTTATTCATTACTAATTACTTTTTTCTCAAATGTAAATAGTCGTAATCTTTAATACTTTTTATGCCTGTAAACTGATCAAAATAGAGCGAGGGCCGTATGTTAGATAACTTTTACGGTTAATACCTTTTCCCTCGTGAAATAAAATTTCTATTTCTATTGTATGCGAAAGTTTCTTAGTTAAATTAACTTTTGTAGAAGTTCCTGATAAAAAATAAAGCAAATTATTTTCATTAGCGTCCTGTAGGAATCAAATTTATTTCATTTCAAAGTCCGAGTTGAAGCTCAAGTTGAGTTTAATATCGGCAAAAAGCAGTTAATTTCAATTCACATTTAAAAACTTAAACGTTTTACGTAGAGTTTCGTTTTGAATTTTACATTAAAATAAAGCCAACACAAACCAAAATAATATTTGAAATAAATTTTGAAATTGATAGTTCTGTATTTAAAAGTGTTCAAGTTTCATCTATTTTTTGCAGGTTTGTACAAAAAATTTAAGAAACAATTATCGTGTTGCCATGACTAACATGACGTGAGCAACGCGAGCCTGCGTTCAGTGTTGGCGTAACTACGAATACTTCATGTTGAAACAATGTTTGGGGAATATAGGCGAGGGGTTGTTCCATGCATGTATTTCTACTACATTTTATTTCATACCACTTCCAACGAAAACACGAAATTACTTTTACATAATAAAAAATGGCTAAAGAAGATTTCAATCAAGTTTTGAAACAGTGCAATGTATTTTATCTTTTATTTTGTCCTTCGATATTTCGTGAAATATGGCGCCATTGCAATGGCTCGCCGCATCTCTGCCTGATAAATGCCACTTCTTCGTCTTCCTATGTAAATTATATAACAGTATCCAAGAGTACTTCATTGTAGAATAGTCCCAATCGAAAAATTGAAAACATTAGTTGCACTTGAAAGGAAAAACCTCCCATAACACTTGTCGTGTCAGAATCCAAAAGAAGTAATTTAAAAGTCATGTGCAAGTTCGCGAAAACTCCTCGTGGGCTACATGACAGGGGGGTGGGGGGTGAATATTTTCACGAAACGTTTGTTCTCCACTACAAGCAACCTAACTAAATACATTATATTTATTGTATTTTTATAATTTATGATAAAAACAATAAATATTTGCGTATTTTTATCATCAATCATAAAAATACAAAAAATATAATATATTTAATTAGGTTGCTGTGGTGGCGAACAAACGTTTCGTGAAAATATTCACACATACCCCTTTATTAATCAATACTCGAAACACACGTCCGAGTTTACATGGAATTATAAAATTAAAGTATATAGTCTATTTTACATTAATTATTTACATCAATAATTTAATAAAACTAGTAAAATTCTACAGTATTGTTAAAAATTATTAAAATGTATCATACACTAGATAACATTGAAAAGACATCTATTTACAAAAGATTTTTTAAATCTTTCACTTCTTACTAAGGGCAGCTCAAAGCCATGTCCCCTTTGCCTTAAAGTTCGATTTAATTTGTTGCGTAAAAGTTCTCTTAGTGCATTATTTTCATCATCTAATATTTTGTTCCATAACCTCTTGTCTCCTTATTTATTATTTCTCTAAAATTAGATTTCTCTGTTACATATCCATTACGGTATGCATGATTTACAAACTTATCAATCTGTCTAATGTATTTAGTATAAGATGCTCCTCCCCAAAGTTCAATTCCGAAAGTGAATAGTGACATTATTAAACTCTGAAAGAGAAGTTCTAACTGCTTTGTTGTAAAACCATAATATTTACACACCCGTAAAATGTACATTCTTCCACTCGCTTTTTTAAGCATCTCTTCGAAGTGTCTGTCCCAATTTTCCGGTATTTCCTCAAGGGTAATTCCAAGTATCTTGAGCCATGTTTTCCGTTTGATGAACGGAATGCAACTGGGTAGAGGTATCGATGTTCTCCCACGAACAATCATTTCGTATGTTTTGTTCATATTCAGCACCATTCGATTTTCATCTGACCATAATTTCATATTTTCTACCTCTTCTGCACCTGTATCATCCTCATCATAGCCCGGGGCTTCTACTGTTATATCATCATCGAATTTACAGAGTTCATTGATTGGATTGACTGGTTTAATGTCATTTACCATTATTGATAATAGTATCGGGCCTAGAACAGTCCCCTGAGGCACGCCACGATTAATTTTCAAGAACTCGGTTGTAATGCCATCAACTGTTACTCTCTGTTTGCGATCATTTAAGAAATCTATCATCCAATTTATGATGTACGGGTTAAAAGGCAATTTCTTAACTTTTCCAAATAGTATGTCATGTGGGACACTGTTAAAAGCCTTGCTAAAGTCAAATGATAGTACTCTCACATATTTCGCACCATTATCCAAACCTTTCAACCACGTATGTTGACATTTAATTAAAGCCATCGTTGAGTTATGTCCTACTTTATATGTGTATTTGTCAGAATCGATAGATTGAGTGATATATAACATCTGCGATCTCATGTTGGTATATACATCTCTCAAATAACCACATTATGATGTCAGTTAGTGAGATAGGTCTCAGTTCAGAACTTGAGTTGATAACATTTTCTTTTGGTATTGGAACTATATTCGCTCTTTTTCATACTTCGGGGACTTTTCCAACTTTCAGAGATACATTAAGTATTTTTGTTATAGCTGGAGCTAATTCAGCTGGGTATGTCTTCCAGAACCAATGTGGTAGATCGTCCGGGCCAGATGATGAACGCTTCTGTTTTCTTAGGTACTCTTGGATACTGTAATAAAATGAGGTACTCTTGAATGAGGTACTCTTGGATACTGTAGATGAAGACGACGAAGGCCAATTTATCGGGCAGAGAAGCAGCGAGCCATTGCAATGGCGCCATATTTCATGATATTTGCGAAATTCGGGGATAAAAAGGAAGCAAGGCGACAAAATATGGCTGAAATCGTGTTTTCGGGGGGGGCTGTGAGTGAAATAAAGCATAGTTTTTCATCCCATGATAATTTTTTTAGGAAATAAGAAAATCTGATTTCTGCCAGGCATATTAGTAATTTTAATTATGCATAATTAGCAATTTACCTGGGGTGGTGCATGGTCATTTGCTTGTAAAATATTATAATTAGGCAAATTTTTCCTTCCAATGACCACCCCTAAAAGCAGCCCTTCTAAACACTATAAGCACTTCAGAAAGGCTGTCGCTTTTCGTTTTCGGAAGTTGGAGCTATGTCGGCACTGCCGTTTCAGGGCGGGGTTATTTTCAGGACTTTCGCCCTGGATTCAGGTTTTGGCACATATGCCATGTTGACCGCCATGGTCATTTTCCCCCAAAACAGTTGAGATTACCTGTCCTAAATGAAACGCATACAAACTCATATACAGGTCCTAGACTAGGTGCTATGTATCCTTCATTAGTGGCATCGTGCATGTTTGTTGTTTTGAAGCAATTTGCGGTAGCCGCTTATGTTAAAATTCTCTCGATTATCGGCTGGCAACGCTCTTTACACCTATGTACGCTTCGTATTTTTTAAACTAATAAACGTGTTTCCAGATGTCATCGTGGATTTTTGAAGGACATACAACTGGGTGAAAACATTGCTAGAAATACTGCTTTAAGTGAGAATGTCTTCATGATGGCAGTGTGTACCGAGTTACGCATCCCGTTGTTTGTTGTTGGCAAACCAGGCAGTTCCAAGTCTTTGGCAAAAGATGTTATATCAACCAACATGAAAGCTGGTAACTCACAAAGCGAATTGTTCAAGAACTTAAAACAGGTACGCAGGTGATTTGCATATAGGTGGATCCAATCATCCAAATAGTTTCAGTGCAAGTTTAACAACACGTTTTTGCATTAAAAATTCCAATTCAATATGTTTTCAGTAAATGATCTCCATTTCCCCATCCATCAATTTTATTTTGTTAGAAACAAATGGCCTTCTTTTCACAAATGAATAGACAGTCTGATGCTTTTTCAAACAAATTGAGTTCGCACTCATACCATAAAGGACTAAACTTACAAAAATTAAGTGAAGAAATAATCTAGTCGAAGGTAGGAAGAACGAAGTAAAATTTCAGTCGCAATTTATTTCATTTTTTCTCTTAATGCGTGAAAATGTATTGGTATATATTCGTCAACACATCAACGTGTGCCTCACAAATCTGTATGTTCGAATTTCTTTGCTTCTGAGTTGAATTTTTGGTTTTGATGTTAACCGAGGTTGTTTCAAAAGATCCTGTTGTTAACCCATTAAGTTGCATTGCACCCCCAACGGGCCCAACTTTCTTACATTACTTTGTCTAACGCCAGACGATTTTACTCGTCAAGGGGTGAGCGCTGGCGCTCAATGAGTGACATCGCACAGGCAAGGCACACTCTAATAAATACACACAGTTTTCTAACAGTTTACCATTCATTCTTGAAGATTTAAAAAAACCCGTTATCAAAAAATTGTTTTGTTCGACACGATTCAACCTAGCATTTTAGTTACCATAAAGCTGCGGTTTCAAGCCAATGAAGAATTGTTGCCGTGTTTGAGTGTACAAAACGTCTAGACAATATTTAACGGTTGAAACGAAGACCAGCAAAAATTTATCACAAACACATATTTTTAGGCCAAGCGTTATATCAAAACATGATTAAATTAAGTCGTCAAAAATATTCCCTATACACATTTTAATATAGCTATTGTAATATAAATACAGTGCCTTTATCACATGGAATCATAAACTTAAATCCGTCTAATTTTAATAATATTAATCCTGACCAAATTTTTTCAAATCATCAAATTCGCACTTTGTATCACTCCTCGAACAGTTTTAAACAATTGCAAAATTCTTGGACAAAACTAAACAAAATGTCTGGCATGTCTGCATGATCTATCTATTTTCCATAATAACGCGAGAAGTCCAATTATTGGATAAATTTCCATTTTAATATTATTGGTGTTACCGAAACGAAAATTACACATTCAACACAACTGAATTTCGAAACAAAAATTCCGGGCTATGAATTTGAATATGTTCCTACACCTCTGGCTTCTGGAGGTGTCGGAATTTACATTGATAATTACGTTGGAGTATATAGTATTGGTAAAATGTGCAAACGATGCTTTTCAAGCCTTATGGATTGAAATAATTAATCGCGATAAGAAAAACATAATTTGCGGAATCATCTTACGCCAACATAATGATCCAAGTCGCTTTATGAACCATTTTGCCGAAACGGTAGAAAATTTTCTTTGACTGGCAAATCTCTGTCCGTCATGGGTGATTTCAATGTGGATCTTCTCAAATCAGATAGTTGCAATCATCACAAAATGTTCTTCTTTCATGCCTTTTCCCTTTTGCCATCAATTGATAAACCAACCAGAATACATAATGATTCGGCAACAATTATCGAAAAATATTTTAATAAACATTCATTCTGTCAGGAATATATCGAAATCGTCAAGAGGTAAAAAAATGCGAGATTTCTCAAGATAATCAGAAAGTAAATTTATGAAGGAAGTAACCGAAATCAATTGGGACTTAATAGTTGAAAAAAATCATCGTAATGTTAATAAATTCTCATCATTTAAAAATAAACTAAATAATGTAGTAAACTAACATGCATCCTGTAAAAGACTTACGAAACGAGACATTAAGAAATTTTCCAAACCTTGGATCACTACTGGGATAAAAAAGTCAATTAAAGAGAAAAATAGACTACTCAGTCAAGGTAAATATGAGAAGTACAATCACTATCGAAACAAGATATTAACTCTTATCCGAGCAAGTAAAAATATATTATTATGAATATTTTTAAAGTAATTTAAATAACACGAAAAACACTTGGGCGTGTATTAGCAACCAAATCAACAAAACCAGAAATATTCGTGCAAAATAACAGCTTTAAAAAATACCGAAACATACCAAAAAATACCAAATTACTCGAGAGCCGTCTGTTCTTCCAAATATTTTGAACAAATATTTTGCCTCAATAGGCACAACCCGATAGTCACTTTGCCGATTACCTGAAACATACCCAAATTCAAGAGTCTTTCTTTTGTACTCCAATTGCATCCTCAGAAATAGAATCTAAAATATACGGTGGCCCAGAAGGGCCATGTATGGTTTTCTTTTAAATAAGCTTCTTTCCCTTTTTTCGTTTAAGAAAGTTTAAATTTGGCCTGTAGAAAGTTAAAATCCCTTGACGTTCTGAAATTTTACCTGGAGCAAATTAAGTTTATGCCTGTTATGCGAATAATATATGTGTACGAATAACTAATAGTAGTAACGCATGATTGCATGCGTGTTTAACAATATGCAAATTGTTGTATAAAAAATCTAGACTAAATATTACGAAATATTATTATAAAATAACATGTATATAACGCGTGCTCTGATTGGTCGAAACCCGTGTTTGGATCAGGCCATCCAAAACGGAAGACTATCGTGTTGTTGTTATTTTATAAAACAATTACTTTATGGTTTCCGTGTTTGGATGGCCTGATCCAAACACTTGGAAATGTTGCTCGAGTTAAGAAAAGCGGGCAAAATCACTCGCCTTCGGCTCGTGATTTCGCTCGCTTTTCTTAACTCTCGCAACATTCCCGCGTGTTTGGATCAGGCCATCCAAACACGGAAACCATAAAGTAATTGTATATTACTACACTTTCTTGAGTATGATGTTTAATCTTATTACATTGGCGACGAGGATTAAAACGAACTAGAATTGATTTCGAAAACTAAAAGGCCGGTAATGCCGCCGAAAAAAGCATTAAGAGTTGAAGAATTTGTGCCGACGGATGATATTTTAGATACCTCGACTAAATGGAAATCATGGCGGCGAAAGATCGAATTACAAATGGAGTACTTTGGTATTCAAGATCCGAAAGATATGAGAATGTGCTTACTCGTACATGGGGGAGATCAAATTATGTCTATAGATGAAAATTCGGTGGAGACTGGAAGCAAAGAAGACGAGGAATACACGAATTTGATAGACAAAATCGAGAAAATATTCATACCAAAGAAATCACGACTTCACGCCCGATTTCGTTTTAACAAAGCGACGTTAGAAGTTGGCCAAACTATTGCACAATATGAGATTGAATTAAGGCGCTTGGCAAAAGAATGCGAATTCCATGGATATGAAAACGAAATGATGTATATATGTTATTTACCGGCTGCGAAGTCCGTACTGAAAAAATATTTTCCCAAGGTCTCAGAAGCGGCCCGAGGCCGAAGGCCGAGGGACGTTTCTGAGGCCGAGGGAAAATATTTTTTAGTACGGACCGACCTAAACGGTAAATAACGTGTTTATTCTTTTATTTGATAGTTCATGGTTATAATGAAATTCCGATAAAATTCCAGTTGCGAAGAACATTTGAGATCAGTTGCATTTGTTACTTTAGTGCAAGCATGGCTGACAAACTGCTAAAAAACGACGCGATAAAAGCTGGATAAAAAGCTTTTAGTTTCATTGCAATATATGCTTTTCTACTCAACAAGAAAACAGAAGGTAAACAAAGTAATAATATTTATTTTCCGAATCGTTTTGCAGCATGGACATGCTTGAAAAATGCTTTTTGACAGACAAATACAAATTTTAGTTGCCGAAAAACAATTTGTTCTTTACAACATTTATAAAAACTATTTTGCCCGAATAAGCCCAGGAATCGTCTTTAAACTGCCATTTGAGTTTTTTTTTTAAATTTTATGTTTAAGGACAAGAAGTACGTTGTACTATTTATATTTATACGTATATTTTCGAAGAATAGCTGAATATATGTAGAACATTTGAATCAAAACATGTAGCACTGGCAAGTGTTTTTCGATGTTTATATTTGGGGTTTTTTCGAAGTTTGGTCGGAGAAAAGTACATTTCGGGCTTGGCACTAAGTCCTCTGAAACCAATTCACTGTATTTTACTGTCTTTGGTATCGATACTCATAGGGTGGATTTTTAAACTCTTTGGGTAGTGTTTTGAGTTTGAAAAATAACTCTTTTGGACCACGGTCAAGATATCGTAAAAATCTGCCCGCTCCTGCAGCCAATCAGATTGCAGGAAATCAAAAAATATCACTAGGCATCTGTCTTTAGTATCGATAGGGTCGATTTTTAAACTTTTTGGTTAGTGTTTTGAGTTTGAAAATTGTCTTCACTCCTCGGTTTTTCGCGAAGGAATAACTCTTTTGGACCACGGTCAAGATATCGTAAAAAGCTGCC